GTCAAAACAGGGCAGCAAAGTTTGGAAACAGGCACCCAACATCTTAAAAGCCAAGCTGCACTCTTAAAAGCCTGCAACACAATAGGAAGTACTTCCTATGTTTGTCTGCAAAAGCAAACTAATCTATTATTACTTCTCATATATAATCCCTTACTGCAAAAGGGCATAGCTATACTAAAAAAAAAAATAACATAACACAAGAATCATCTTCTGCTCAAGGTCTGATACCCTTAAAGAACCACACATCTGCTTCAATTTGAAGTATTTATCTTTTCCTATTCCCACTGCTGAAGCTACACACAGCCAATGAATTATTTATGCTGATGCTTCCCAGGGAGAGAAATGGCACAGCATCAGATATTCTTACATGTAACCCAAACCTGAATGGCCAAAAAATTCATATCACTAAAAAGGGCCACATGGACATTGGCAACCATATTCCATGTTACCTGTGGCTACCTGAGCTAGGTGATGGAGAGAAGTCACAACTCCATGGGGAGGTGAAGAGGAGCAACACTAAGACAAAATGCATGTAAAGTGTTCATTAACATATCTTATTCTGCTCTATCTAATTAGCCCCAGGTCCTTGGCACAGTATTTAAATACAACTTCTCAATAAAAGATTCAGGGAAAAACGTCAGCTGACTGCAAATGTATCTAGAAGGAGCATGACTGACTGAAGGCTGGAGTCACAATTTTTTCTGACAACAATGTATGTACACCAGTCTCAGAGCATGGCTTGTCCTTTCTCACTGTCACTTTCCCTTCAACCTTAGAGAGAGATCTGTGGAGAGCCACTGGAGTCACTAGAGAGCCCTCTCGTTAAATGGGCAAGAGAGAACAAAAGGAGAGTTAACGACATGCAGAATAAATCTTTTGTCTTCACATCTGGTCGTGATTCACAGGCAAGGTAGAAATTGCAGGCATTAATCTAGACTAGGTACTTGAAAACTATCCCAGGTACTGATTTTCTGTGTTGAAAAGAACTGTCAGATTAAGATATGAGCAAAAAATAAAAACATATATTTATTCCTATTATCTTTACATTAGTAATGCTATTATTAAGGCAGCTTCATAAATTTGCTTTGAAAACACAAAAAGAAACTGAAAATCCACTTGTGGAAACACAATAACAGAAAGGCAGAGATACTGCCCACCATAGAAATTACAGTCATTTCAGGGAATCAAAATTTCACAGTACAATTGACACCCAAACCATCTTCTACCTTAATATACTGTATTTGTTTGTACTGCACTAACTTTGGACAAAGACAAGAATCTACTGCAAACAAGGTTAGTGTGTATGTAACCGATAATTAAATAAATGGCCTTAACCTTGTAACCAAGAAAGACAAACAAATAATCAAAATCTCAGTATTTTATCTAAATATATGGATGAAAAAATACTTGCTCTATCAAGCCTAAAAGGGAAGGCATGTATTTAGTATCTAACCTGATACCTCCTAGTGCTATTCCCAGTTTTGAACAGTTGGGCACATGTGATTTTCAACAACTGAAGAACCTCTGTTCTGAGGACTACAGACTAATTTAAAGAGAAGATGGGAGAAAAAAAAAAAAAGACGACAACAAGTAGAACTGCCAAGGACAAGAACTGCACTGGTTCAGCAGGAAATAGCCATGGTATGGTTTCAGTCCAAGAGGATGATTAAATAACTCCAGTAAGTAAGCGTTTCCCATAACGACAGTACCTTGCATCTGCTGCATGAGTAAGGCCCGCTGAAGCATAGGATTGGCATTGAGCAGCGATGGCTGATTTGTTGCCCGTAAGCTCAGCATCTGTTGCTGCTGCGGCGGCGGCAAACCCCTGGAAAAGAAGGTATCAATCATGAAAACCCAATTGAAACTGTACCCTTCTATTCTAGGCACCCAGCAAGCATAAAACAGAGGGGCAAACAGCTGAAGGGCTGATATACATGCATGAAAAGGCACCGTGCACTGGTACTGTATCCTCTTTCCTCCACTCTCCTGGAATTTCCAAAGCTGACAGATTGTCTATCAAAGAATTTGAGGTCAGAGACAACTCCTTAGCACCAAGCCCACACAGAGCCTCCTAAGCAGCATAAAAAAAGCCCAGGAGCTGACTGCGGTTCTACAGAATTATGCAGCACCCATCAGGAGAAATGAGTGATCTAGATCAGCAGCTACATTTAACACGACAACAAAAAAAGTTCTAAAAAACAGGGAGTTTTCGCAGTAGCTTAGAGCTCATTCTCCCAAAATCAACACCTCCCACACGGAGCCAGACAGGTCAGAACTGTCAATGGTGCCCCCTAACTGCAAGAACCAGATGGAAAAATAAAAGCACGGCCTTCATATTTAAAACACGAGGAGGAAGAAGCAGCAGGGAAGAACTCTCCAGTTCTAAGGAGGGTGGAGCAGATGCGAGAGAAAAGTCTGAGGAAACTGGCAGGCACTTCTTCAGGCGATTGCAAGGTCAGGCCCACCTCTATGCACGCTGCTGACACAGCTAAATCTGTCAGAGCTGAAGAGAGGTACAAACACGGATCGAAATATCCACCCTGACAAAAAAACCCAACTCCTTTAACAGAATTCACAGCAGCTCATCTTCACATTTGCTGCTCTAGATTGTTCCAGTCTCTGAGCTATTTATACCACAAAACCCATACTTTTATAGGTGCAAGATGCAGCCGTGCTATCTAGCAGTCAGCCCCTTACTGGCATTTTAAGAGCAGCTTTTTTTATAGTATAAAACATATAAAAATGGTAAAAAGATTTGCAGGTTCCTATTTCTAGTAAAACAGAAAGATTCCCACGCTTACCTCAGAGACAAATGCCTTATAAGGATAAAGTAATACAGTAATTCCTTAAATAACAAATTAAATTTGTTCCTAAATTCACATCCCATTGCTTTGAATTTGCAAAAAATATGGCTTTAAAGGTAATAGTAACTGCAAATAAATGCATTATTTTGGAGAATTTGTGTTGGTTCCACAAGTCTCAGCTCATCGGGGACAACTGCTCCTATTTAAGTTGTTTCACATCTTGCATTTTTTAGGAAAACCGTGCTTATTTTCTGGCAAATGTTCTTTCTCCTTTCACAAACAAAACACAATCTTCTCCATCCTCTCCCTGCCCCACCGTGCTCAGCCACAGCCTTAGCGCTGGTGCCACTGCAAAAACAAGTTCAATCATCGCACCCACACCAGCAGACCCAGCCAGAGAAAGCAAATAAATAAACAGCTCAAGTTCAACAATAAAACAATAAAGTGCTCATGTCTGCTGAGGGTGGCTGTGCTGAGCGTTGTGTTTCTGCAGGAGAAGGCGTTTTCCCCGAGCCCCGGCTGCCCTGCCCGCCCTGAGGGGCGACGCTCGGCTCGGAGCACCCACCCACCACCCCTACACGGACTGCCCGGGTCACCCACGGGCTCTCGGGGACTCCAGCGCCGGACGGCGGACAGGGATCTCCGGAGCGCTGAGGGGACGCGGCCAAAGACCCCAGAGGGGCCGCCGCCCTCCCTCCCACACCCCCGGCCCCCTCGGTGCCTCCAGGCTCTGCCCCGACCGAGGCCCGCGCCCCCCAACCCCCGCCCGCCTCCCTTTGTCGCCTTCCCCACCGGGGGAGGGCAGCCCCGCACCAGCCCCGCCGCGGCGAGCAAGGACGGAGCGCAGGGAGGCGGAGGAGAGCGGTCCCCCGGGACAGGCCCCGGATCCCCGGCCTCGCGTAGCGACGCTTACCGGCCTCCCTGCTGCGCCGGAGGGTGGTGATGGTGCTGCTGCTGCTGCTGCTGGAGGAGGTGCTGGAGCTGCAGCAGCTGCTGCTGGAACTGCTGCTGGTTGAACATGTCTGGGGAGCCCCGAGCGAGGCGAGCCTGAGACAAAATACGGGAGGGCGAGGGAGGCACCGGCTGCGGGGCTGGCGCGTATCAGCCCAGCAGCCATTGAGCAGAGGAGCCGCCGCCGCTGCCGCCCATTCATTCACTGAGCCGAACCCCCCCTGCCGCCTCCTCCTTTCCCCCGGGGTCATCGCAAGCGGCAGCCTGTGGAAGAGGTTTCCAAACCCCACCTCCCAAAACCCGCTCCCACCCTCCCCTGCCCGCGGCGCCCGCAGCCCGTCCCGCTCCCCGCGGCGGGGCCGCGCCGGGACCCGCAGCCGCTTCCCGTCCCTTCGCCTCCTCGCCCCGCCGACACTCACGGCGCAGCCCGCGGCGATCACCGCTCCCCGCCCGCCGCCTCCATCTTCCCGCCGGGCACAGCCAGCACCTGCCCGGCCCCGCTCCCCGGCCCAGCCCCGGCGGGAGGCAGCGCCTTGGGCAGGGCTGTAGGACACGGCCGCCCCCGCGGGGCTGGGGATCACCCCGGAGCCTCCTCTCAGGTCGCCCCAGCCCGCAGCGCCTCCATCCCTCATTCCCCGCGCAGAGGCGGCGTTGAAGTCCCCTGTCCCTCGAGAGGGCTGGGAGGGAATAAACTGCTGTACAGGAGCAGCAGATGGCATCCAACAGCGTGGGTTTTCTGCTCTTTGTTTGTTTGTTTGGGTTTTTTCCGTTTTTTTTTTTTTTTTTTTTTTTTTTTTTAGTCCAGGGGAATCTCTGGTAACACCGAGAAGATGGGGAAAAAACCCAAAGAAGCCAAAGCAGCCTATGGCAATTTGCTGTGGTCACATCTTGGCAAGCCTATTATGAGAACCTGGAAGAAAACCAACAGGGACTTTTGCAATATTGCTTTATGCTGTAGACTGAGATGACTTCTCTAGCAGGTCCATCCCTCCCCCCCCCCTTTTTTTTTTTTGTTTGTTGGTTTGGTTGGTTTGTTTGGGGATTTTTTGGCAGGGGATGAGTTTGCAGCAAAACCTTTCCTGCACGGCCTGTTTTCCATAGCAAAATTAATCTTAAGCGCTTTCAGTACACACAAGCTCTCCATGAAAATATACTGTGACTATCACTTTTTTCTTATGCTAAACCTCAGAAGGATCAAGATGCATCTCTGATCCTTGCTATTCCAAAGAATCCATCCTGAAATAATTTACTTTATAGTCTTTTTATTCATGCCAGTAAAGATTACTTGATTCATAAAGTCCTTGGAATTGATTTTTACCTGAAAGCATTATAAGCTGAACACAGACAGTTACTGGTGATATACAGTTATGATTAGTAATTTTAAATGCAGCAGCATATGTTGATTTTTCCTTTGGTCCTTTCTATACCATCCTGATTTTCTAATCTTGAATTTGGAGATGATCATCTGTATTAATCAATGAGGGGCCCTGTTTATGTCCAGAGCCCTTTATGGCTGTCTGCACACAGAGAAAATGATTTCCTGTTAAGCATGAAAACTTAAATGTCATCCTAGGGAACATACACATGGAGAAAAAAAACATGCATGGAGTCTTTTAGAAATAATTTTGCATAGTTCATCCTCTGCTGTAATTGTGCTGCTAGAGCAGCCACTGGCCTGGCTGCTTTGCAGCAGTGGGGGTGAGGGTTAATCCTACAATCCCAGTACATAAATTAGCCAGACCTGGGAAAGGCAGAATTCAGGTTGTATAGATAAATGTAAATCTGAAATTGATGTCCTCTGTTCTTAATTCTACAACTAAAATTATTGTAAGTATTCTTTGTATGTTACATTTGGAAATCTACAAATTGCCATGCTAATGAAATATGCAAGTAACTAAGCTTATTCACTGTTAGATTTTATGTTCTGACATAGTCTAGAGGCTGCCCTCATAGACTGGGCTTTTCTCTCTGAGGCCCTACATACAAATCATTAAATAAACAACATTTTTGAATTTATAAATAGTCCATAGGTCTACTGCCTTGAACACAAATCTGGACACTAAATCTGGATTTAGTCCTGTGCCTGTACAACACAAGACAGGATTATGGCTATAGGAAGCAAAAAAGACGTGCTGGTCCATCAACCTACAACCCAAAGATTGATTTCAGACATGCCTTTAGGTCCAAATGTGAACATCACACCTATCAAAGAAGGTTTAATTGAATGCAGAAGATAAAGCTCCAGTTTAATGTAATCACACCGTTTACTTTGAAAGTCATACAGAGATATAAGGGAACTGTAGAAAATTGGGTTAGGATCCTTTCCTTCACTACAAACAACAAAACAGTGTGTCAGGCTGACAGCTGAAAGCTGCTGTCAGTGCCCAGTGATCACTGGAATGCAGACCTTGACGTGCCATCCACTGACAGTTGTTTTTTCCTGCAAAGAACATCTCCCTTTCAATAATTAAGCATCTCACTACTCAGTGTGCAGTGGCAAATACATAATGGGAGAATACACAGAACCTCAAAAAGAGGCACAATGCAGACTACAGCATTATCACTCAAAACCAACCCATGTATCCCCTAGGCCTGGGAGTGCCTCATTGGCAATGGGAATGAATGAAACAGAGTAAGATTTAGAAGTTCAAGCTAAGAGAAGGACCAGAGAACATCCTGCATTGCAGACACTATAGTCAGTGGAGTTGTTGGATCATGACTATAAGGCAACCTGCACTACACCTCTGTATGATTAGATCAGGGTTATGAAATCCTTTGGCAGATTAGAGGACAGAGCATACGAATGCTTTTTATTCAGGAGCTGGATTGTATTATACAGCCAAGTTCTTGCTGGGCTATATGAATTTTTTTCCAGGGATCAGGCATGCAGATAACCAGAGATTTCTAATTTCCACCATATGACTGCACTGTGCAGTTTTATGTTTTAATTTTGGCTTTGAAAAAGACTTGGTATGCAACCCTTGGTGGAGCCACATCACTTTTGAAAACCCAAGTTTCTCAGCGCCTATGACAGCACCAACATACTGCAGTGCCCACAATTTCCTCTGCAATCTGCAAGGATGGTGTGATTACTCATCCATTTCACCAGGATATAACTCGTTCTCACCATAATGTATTTAAGCCTCACAAACTTCTTAGAGAAAAAGCATATGGAGCTTTAAAGTACTTTCTTTTCCTAGTTTGGGGGCCTATGTACTGAAAGAATGGGTCAAGTTTCACCAGACACGGTCTTAACAGCTGATATTAGTTACTGGAATTACACTGTTTTCCATGTCTGTTTTATCTGGAGGATGACTGGATTCACACAACATTTCAAACCAAAATGATATGTGCATTAAAGGATGTTTTCCCTCATTTTGTGTAATATAGTTCTAGAAACCTAGTCTTAGTCCTTGACAGGCCCACAAGAGGTAAAAATAGTTTTTATATCCATTTTACCATGTGGTCAATCAGCTCCTATTAGCAATTTTCAGTCTCACAAGCTAAAATATATACCAGGAGCTATTTTATGACATCTCACTGGATGCAGAAAGCACAGAGAACTCATCTTTGTTGCTCTTAAAATATTAATTTAAACTCACATCCATGCGCAGATCCCATTCTTAATGGAGTAAAACATTCAGCTTCTTTCTTTCCTTATGTATACTCTGGCTTCTGGCGAGTTACACTCACAAGAATACTGTCCTAGTGTCTTATACACCAGATTTACCTTCTTTTACCTCTTTTTGGGGGATTTGCACACCAATTCAGTTTAAGCACAGAAGATGCAGAAGCATCTCACTATGTTATTCTACAAAGAAAAGCATTCCATTTGAAAACTCAAAAATTAAAGGCTGCTTTTCTTTCAAATAGCTTTTGCAATTAATAGGAGCATTAGAAATCAACTTTTTTTCTCTGAGTAACTGATACTACAAGAGATTGATGATGTTACTGTGGTACCATTGCTACTATAGTAGCACTTAAGTACCTAGAAAATAGATACTTAAGCGTTTTCTATCTCCATATGCAGCTTTAGATAGTTATGGAAATGCAAGAGGCTAATTTTAGTTAATATTTTAAACTATTGATCAGCTGTATCATGTAGTATTAGTATGGACAATGACAATCCTAGGCCAGTTTCTTTTTGGAACTTTTAACCATTCAATTTAAATTCTTACCTGTTTTTATAACCATTTTTAGGAACCCCAAAGGCCAGAATTATCCACTTCAAGACCCACAGTGAAATATTCTAAACATTCACACTACCTGGAGTCAGCAGAAACAGTTTGCAAGTAACTTAGAACCTCATAAGCTAATTGCTTTCCACATTTTTGCCTCTTTTTTCCTCTGAGGACTAGATATGTTATTTTTGCAAGGGCAAGGAATGAAGGACAGAATCCAGCTCTCAAATGTCTATTTCTAATTATGCTAACTAAACTGGGAGTCCTATTTGCATGAGGTGACAAAATCAGCATACACAACTGTGGTTATGTTGATAGCCATACATAGAAACACACATATGCTTGGCCACATGCATTTTTAGGGATTCATGTTAAAGTACATTCAGAAATATTTATAGCACGGGGCAGGGGGAATCTTTCATTCCTCTTGTGTTCCTTTGCTCACATCTTCAGTTTTTCTACTAAGATTAAAAAAATAGATTTTTCCTATTCATTCCAGTTACTGAAATTCCTTTTGTTTTTCCTGCTCTGTCTGCTAAATGCTGCTGAGTGAGTCACAGGCAGGAGGTATTACAGAATCAAAAGGTATGTTTGCTGAGACATCCCTGCAACTCAGTTTGTGGCAGGGGAGAAAATGGAAGGCTCTAGGAGCGATTCCGAGTGCCTGCAGTTCGCTTTTTCATCAGAGGGAGGAGTAGGTTCGTAAAGCTTCAGAAAATCCAAGCCTCGCTGTCTGGGATGCTCGGGGTCAGTCTCTCCGGGCTGAGCGGCTGCAGTCGCTGCAGAAGCGTCCAGACTTTACACTGTAAATGTGTGTTTTAGGGTGACGCTGCAGGCAGACACACTGCAGCTCATCTGCTACAAAAAGCTCTGCAGGACAAAGAAGCTGGAGCAGATTCTGTGCATCTCTCAGTTTTACACTAATATTGATCCATTTAAAGTTTGCCAATATTTCTGCATGTTTTACCAATTCCATAATTTCTTTTATTGCTTTCTTGTGTACCTGGAGAGCACTCTATTAGCTCCTCTCATCCCTCCTGTCCAGTTTTGCCCTTTAAGATTTCAATAAGGCCCAAGCCCCTCATATAGCCCCCAAAGGACCACATTTCCTAAGAACTAAGTATTAGTTTAATGGAAAAATAAAACTAGATAGTGTAGGAAAAATCACCTGCAAAGAAGCCTTTATACTGTATGAGCTCCTTAACTGGCAATATAAATCTTATTTTTCCCCTCAGTCTTCAACATCAGCTGTTGATATACTACATTTTCAATAGTCTGTCACAAACATTTCTCAAAGAAAATGGATTAGTTTCATTTTAGCTTTTCAAAAAAAAAAAAAAATCACCTGAATGATTAGTTCTAGAGCTGTCCCAACCAGAACAAAATATCTACCCAGTGTACATGGGGATGAAGCTAAGGAGTCATCTATGAGTGAAAGCCAGACCCAAAGACTCCATAGGCTGCAACCAGAGACAAACACGTCTCCCTAAGTCAGCAGGAACTGATGGCCCACCCAGGTCCGCAGATGTGGGGGGAAGCCCCAGGTGAGGCTGGCCACGGCCACTGAGAGTTTTTAGTGCAGGTGGTAAATTGTGTGAGGTGACTGAAGTGATGCAACTGGGCAGTCTTTGTATTGCAGTTGGTGAACTTCAAGGTACAGCGAGCTCTGGGAAAAGGCCAGTTTTCTGCTTACAGTTCCTCAAATAAAGCTTCAAAGATCCTCATGGTCTAAAGTTCCCTGAGCTTCAGCTCTGATCCAGGGAGGAAGGTGACATCATTATTTGAGCCTTTGATACTCTTCACTGTTCTTTTTGTGGTGACCTCTTACAAGGAGCAGCTATCCATAGCAGTTTTTTTCCAGAACCCTTCAACATAAATTATCTGAATGGCTGCAGGGATGCTCAAAGGCTTTTGTCCACAGTCTATATTGAATTTCTTAAGCTTATTTCTTGAGATTTACTGGGTAATTTGCTGAGAGGAAAAAATAGCATTGACAGCCCCCAAAACTGCCCACGTATGCCCTACAATGGTGTTACCCGTACAGATGGAGCAGCTCCCTTCCCTTCCTTCAGTGTTCTTACCTGCACACTGGTGATGTGCTAGAGCATGAGGCAAATTCATCCCTCACCATGGTTGCCTCAGTTTCTCTGTATGTCCACATAGGTATTTTTGCATGGATTAAATTTGATGGACACCTGTGAAATAGTAATTATAATTATTATAACTAAAAAGCTGCTGTACAAAACAAAACAGACAGCTCAAAATCTGTTGCAGTTTTTTTGTACTTCATTTCCCCCTCCACCCCCATCTCTCTCTGAGCTGTGAATAGGAGTCTTGGGTAGCACGAACTGAGAGGTGTTTGAAATGCAACACTCTCCATCCTTCTGAGTCATGGCTAGCCATCAGATGCTTTTTTGAACACTTGTTTTCATTGCTGTACTTTGAAATCAAATATGGCCTCATGTTATATTCTTATTAAAAACCTATCCCTTTTAAAAAATCAAAAACCAAGCTGTTCACTCTTTATTGCAGACAAGTAATTTAAAAAACAAAATCTGGGTGCATAAAATGAAGCACCTGTTTGCGTATCTCTAAAACAAGCCTGGCAACACATCCACTGTTTTGCAGCTATAAACAGAAATTGATACATTTTACATCTGTGTTTGAATGAAGCATCAGAATCATAGAATGGGTTGGAAGAGACCTTAAAAAAAATTTCTTATTCTAACCTCTGCCACCTTATTCTAGCCAGATGCTCAGAGAGTGGTAGCATTTTTGCAAAGCTCTAGTTTAATCATCTCAAGTGTGTCTTGCATTTTGGTGATTTCACAAGCACTGTCTCCACACAAAGCCCTCCCACACAGGTGCTGTGACCAAACCATGGCGCACTGAGTAAACGTTGTGGCAGTGAGGATCACAAAGTGCAGGTGTAGGAACCAAGCCATGTGTGTCCTTGGAGCGCATCTCCCGTGCTCGCTGCAGCGCTGCACAGCGGGCGGCAGTGACCGCCACAGGGACCGCGGCACCGGGCAGGGCTCACCGACAGTACCCTGGGACTGACTGCGGGGCCAGCACACCCGCACCGGCTGGGCCACACCGGTGTGCCAACCTGCCGCACACAGAGGCAGCCCCGGGGCAGCTGAACTGCTCTGGTTCTGGGAGCGAGCCCCGTTCCCAGGTCTTTGGGCACAGACACCGGTGCCGCGCCATCCCGATCCCGGCCCCCTCGGCCCCTCGCAGCCGCCGGACTACATCTCCCAGGATGCAGCGCGGCGCCGGTACCTTTAACGCCCCCTGGCGGCAGCACGGGGCGCTCCACAGGCGCGGCGGGCGGGCTGAGGCGAGCGGAGCCCGGGCGGCGTCGAGCGGGGCGAGGGGCGCGGGCTGGAGCCGCTGCCCACCGGCCCCAGAGCCGGGGAGGGCTGCGGGAAGGGTTAGTGCGAGCTCGCTTGTGCCAGGAGCCGCGCCGCAACCATGGGGAACCGCGGGATGGAGGATCTCATCCCGCTGGTCAACCGGCTGCAGGACGCCTTCGCCGCCATCGGGCAGAACGCCAACCTCGACCTGCCGCAGATCGCCGTGGTGGGGGGGCAGAGCGCCGGCAAGAGCTCCGTGCTGGAGAATTTCGTCGGGAGGTGAGCGGGGGTGTCCCCGGGGGCGCGGGCAGAGCTGCCGCATGGCCAGCGCGGTGCGGGGGCAGCGCCGCGGGGTCCGCGGGCAGCGCGGTGCGGGAGCAGCGCGGGCAGAACCGCCTCACGGGCAGCTCGGTGCGGGGACAACGCGGGCAGAGGCTCCGCACGGGCAGCGCGGTGCGGGGACAGCGCGGGCAGAGGCTCCGCACGGGCAGCGGCTCTGCACGGGCAGCGCGGTGCGGGCGCTCTGACCGCGGAGCGGGGACAGCGCTCCGCTCGCAGCTACTCCGCTCGGCGCGTGTGCGGTGCGCGGGCAGCGCTGCAGGACGCCCGGGCGCTGCGGTGCAGGGGGACGGGGAGGCGCGGGAGGAAGGCAGGGAGGGAGGCAGGGAGGGAGGGAGGGAAGGCTCCCCGCCTGGGGGCATTCCGCAGCGGGGTCCCCGCCACTGCCGCACCTTGGCGGCCGGTGGCAGCCCCCCCTTGTCCTGGCTGTTACATAACGGAGGGGGCTGAAGGGGCTGTGGGGGCCGGCCCCATCCGTCCCCTGCTCGGTGCGGGGCTCAGAGATGGATGTTGTCGCTGCGGGGGGAGTGATGCGGAGGGTGTTTAAGTTTAATCTGCTCCGTCCCCCTCCCCCAGCCCAGGCTCGCTGTCCTCCATAGCGGATGCCATGTCAGGAGCTGCGGGGAGGCTATAGGAAGGACGGGGTTATAGCTCTCCTATATGCTCAAATCCCCGGGTGCTACCATTTTGTGGCAGGCAATATACTGATGCTTTCCCTTCATGTGACCTTCGCATTCATCATCTGCAACTTGAGTAAATTGCAGACCGCGCTGCTTGGGTGTCTCCTCCAGTGTAGACACACAACACCTGAGGGGGGGGGAACGTTCCTTACCTTTTTCCTGGCCTTGTTAATTAATTGTATTAAGTTATATACGGGTTTTAGTTATCAAGGTGGTTTTTTATGCTGTAAGGAGCATGCAGGTTTCTGGTGACTTGCCTTAAGAGCAGTGACTGCTGATACCTGGTCAGATGCTTGCGTGGGTTTTTTCTCTTTCAGCAAACTGCATTTGTGACAACATCTACTGGATCTCATTTCCCAACCCCCACTTTTTCTTTTAAGCTGTTTGCTGTTGGATGGCTTATAGAGCTTTTCCACTGTGAGAAGGGTCTGTGGTGTGGATTAACTGCTTGTTTAGCTGCAAGTAGCCAAATTCTGGACCCGTGCAAGGGTATCTTTGAGCAGTGAGTGCTGGGTGTACTAGGAGGAAGGCTCAGGGGTTACATCTGGTACAAAGAAAGCATGGTCAAAATAAAATGTTTTCTTCTCTGCCACAGATCAAAGAGTTTTGAAAAAAATAAGAATATAAAATTTAAAGAGTTTGGTATCTCTTCTAGCTAACTTCCAAAGGTCCATGCAGTGTATCCCTGAGAGATGCTGGGATCATGCCAAGGCCCAGACATTGCAGAAACACATTTTACTGAGTCTCAGGTCATAGTCCAGAATCCACTTGTTTGTCCACAGTCACAGAAAAAAAAATAAAATTCCTGCCACCCAAGTGAGAAACTTGCTGGGCTGTAGCTTTTGAAGAAGGGGAAAATGGATCTTCTGAAGTCTTTGAGCAAAATGGGTTCACCTGTTGGCTCTGCTGTTTTCATGCTTTCTAAGTACTGGCAGTCAAACCTCATAAATCCTTTTTGGAGGATCTGTGCAGGCAGTGCTGCAGTGGTGTTGTAGATAATGTAGGGCTGCTGGGCCAGAGGGGGATTTGTTGGAGGAAGGACAGTCAGTGTATTGGGGTAAACTGCTCCTCTCCTTTGGACCAACCACACAAGAGGATTTACTAATCCTTGATGCATCTCCACTGGCACCAATTTAGAACTGGGGATTTTATCTGCTTGGTGGAAAATATATGAATTCAATTATCTTCTGTCTCTTTCTGATGACTTCTGTCACAGGAGAACTTATGACCTCACTGTGTCCCATCAGCTGTCTCTCTAGCAGCAAGCTATAGCGCTGTGGCTTTTAGAAAATGAAATAATTAAGGGTCCCCTGAGCAGGAGCTGAGAGCTGTCTGTAGAAAAGCATTTAGAGGAAATAATTGGAGGGGAAATGGAAAATGTCAGTGTGAAGAGGTCTTTCTCCATTTGATACCCCTGAGTGCTGGCTAGTTTAGACTGGTAACTTGAGACCTCTTACCACATAATGTGTGTGTATATGCTGCAAATCCCAATCCTGTTAAAATAGTGTTGGGGCCCTGCTGTAATGTATAGTCTCTTTTCTTTCTCTGTGGGTATTGGAAACCATGATAAGGAGCTATGGAAATAGTATCCAGAATGAGCATGGTTCTTCAGTGTAATTGTGATAGGGGCTGTTTTCTTGTCTGAACAGCCATAAGAAGAAATTGTGTGTAGACCTACTGTGTACAAATACAATTATTGCTGTAGTGTGGACATGACATATGTCACTGCTCCTGCTTGATACCAGGATGGTGGTGCAGCTATTGCTCAGCAGCTGCTCGCTGCACAGGGAATGTGAGTGCTGATGAGTTTCTCTCTGAGTGGATGGAAATCTGTGCAAGAACAAATGCTGATGTGGTTGGTACTGGCTGATGAGCATGATGCAGACACTTCAGCACAGGGGCTGGAGGCCCTGTCAGGGCTGGCTTCCCTGCTCAGGACCTGTAGGGCTCCTTTCAAATTGTCATCAAATCACGTTTCCCTAACAGGACAGCACACTTGCCCCCTGCCAGACCTGTGTTGTGGCAGGGCTTCAGTCCAGGGCTGCTGCAGGCACCTTGAAGTAGCACTGAGTCCCACATTCAGTGGAAACCTATAAGCAGGGAGGAGTGATACTGCCTGCAATCACTGTTTAGTTACATGTCATACCAAACAAATATTTTTTTTCCTCCTGAATTCAGTGGCTTACTAGCTGCTGCTAGTTGCGTTTTTGGTGACACTTACTCTGCTGTTAACAGATTATCCAACAGTGCAGAGCTTGTATTTATAATACCAGATGTCAGTGTGGCTGCTATGTGTGCTTTTGCTGCTGGAATCTCAGCGTGGTGACTCGGATACCGGCTGGTGGTGATAAAATTGCTGAAGAAACAAGAAGCCATGTAGAAGCCAGACAGGTGACACATCTGTCCACAGACTGGTTTGTCCTGGGCCCCAGAACTGGAAGGAAGGTTAATTGGGTGAGCTCCAGGCATTTCCTGTTGGTGTGGTTATAAGCTTGTAGGATAACTCAGGTTGGAAGGGACTTCAGTGATCATTTTGTCCGTTTTTAAGGTGCTGTTACTTCCCTGCATCATCCTTTTCTAAATTAATAGGTCTTGGAGCCGGCAACTGTACCAGCAAAATTGGTCTGATAAAAAGAACAAAGCATGTGGTATGTGCTAATTTGACTTAGGAGCCCAAATGACTGAGGAGATTATACAAACAGCCTTGTGGGCTGTCTCATACAATCATCCATGTTCATGCCACTCTTACTTTACCATGTGAAAATAACAAATGTGCTTTCTTTAAATCCTATGATCTCAGAGCACTGTTACACAAATCTTCGGGTTTCTGGGAGTATTGCTGTTACCTGTGCTTTACGAACAGGAGAACTGAAAGCTCTGGGCTGTGTTCAGCTGGTTCCTGGAATGGCTGTGCCTTGTGGTGGTGGTGTCTGATCCAAGGCAGGGTGCTGCTCAGCCCTGTGGGACAGCTGCATTGCTCTTCCCAGGGAAAACAAGGCACCTCTGACTTCTCCAGAGCATATGGTTTCAGGGGGCTGCTGAGGAGGCAGTGACTAAGGGCTGGGAACAGTGGGTGGAAGGACTTGAATGGAGATGAAACCATCTTGTTTATGATCAAGGGACCTAAGCAGTGCCAAACTTGTGTGAAATGAATCGGTGTTTACTTGACCTCACACCTGAGCTGGAATCTGGTACCCTACAAGCATTTTCTCTTGGAGGCTGTGCACCCAAAATAGGGGTACTTACCAGTCTGTCACCAGGCTCTGATGGTATATGCTGAATTCCCTGATGTTTGTGTGTTGCCTAGAAGGAATCACATGTGTGGCCTACAGGAGTGGGCCTAAACTCAACCATTTTGGGATAACCTTGCCTCTCCTAATGATGAAATTTCCATATGGGTAGAAGAGCAGGGAAAATGCAGCACTGCAATGCCTGTGTCAGTCAAAAGGCTAAATACTCATTGGGCATAGCTGCAGTAGGATGTGACAAAATCAGGCACGGGCCTAGCAGTAAGTGTCTCTTTGCCTTTCTGTGCCCCATAATGGTGATGCAAAGCTAGATCCTGAAGCCAAAGTATTTAGTTTGGCTTCAGGTATAACTTTGAGGAGCAACTTAATACCTTCCACAGGCATTTAGAGATAAATACACCCCCAAGATATGATGAGGGAATGCCTTCCTTGATAACGCATATTTTGCTTTATTATGGAAAGCTTCCCCAGAAAAATACCTTCAGAGACCAACAGCAGTGTTTAGCAACTATGTAGAAGTGAAGGATCCTAAAGGGATGCATAAAGAGATCCAGATATTTGGCCTGTTCCTGCAGGAAAACTGTTTTGTTGATGATCTTTGTACTATTAAGTTGCTCAGGCTTCTGCTGCAGTATGTGGTTTATGAGCTTCAGTGTTGAGGACTGAGTGTTTAAATATTGTAAAATAGCTACATTATGTATAGATTGGGGGTGTCTGTTGTACTGGACAATGCTGAGCATCACTGTAGTACTTCAGGAGCAAATTTAAATTTAAACAAGAAGATACATTCA